AGAGGAGGAGGAGGAGGAAGAAAACGAGAAAAAAAAACAACTTACATGGCAAAACACGCTCCTTTATCGATTTTCTCATAAAATTATAGCTTCTCATTATATTTCTTGCTAAGGAATCGACTTCTCTGTCTCCGAAAATAGAACAGAAGAAGTTGGTAATCCCTGTTGGAAAATAATCCTAAAGTTTTATTTTGAAAAGTGAAAGAAATGGTTTTTAAAAATATATCACATGTTACGTTGATTTATGCTAATGAATGCACTTTTTCTCTTCTATTTATCTCGGTTAAGTGGATTAGATGTGATTAAAACTGATTTATCGAGTTAATTTAAAGCTATATATATTATAAAATTCGTTTTTTTAAAGAAAAATGACAATTAATTGTACTAATCCGGATAAATGACTCCTACGCGAAATTATTACTATTTTCTTTTTTTTCCCCCTTTAATTTCTATCTTCTTCTTGGTCTTTCTTTAAATATTTCTTGCACGTTTGTCCACAGTTTGATTTCTAGAAAGATCATGTAACAATTATTATTAAATTTTAAATTTTCCGTCGTATATTCAATGGGAGCATTGTAAAATCGCACTGATCTCCAGTTTGATCAAACAGTTCTCTTCCAAAAATGCCTGTTGATTATAATAATTTATTTACATACAATATAAATGTAAATATAGATATATATATAGTCTTTAAGAAATGAAAATTTGCTCCAGATACATAATAATACAAAAATAAAGGAAGAAAATTATTATTATTAACAGATTTTAAAACACAAAACAAGGCTGAAAAGATAATTAAGGGTGAAAGTTTTAAGTAACATTTCCTTCTTGGGATAATTTGGGTTTGGCCAAGGACTAGGACACAATTTGAGTAACGAAAATATGCTAAACAGTTGAAGATAGTCCCTACAGAATTGATTATCATTATTACTCACGTTTCAAGAGGAAAATATGAAACGGTCTTGTTAATTAATAATTATCTTCAAGTAGGTCAATAATCATTCTGCATTTAGAGGTTTTATTTTATTTTATTTTTTTTTAAATTAATATTTATGCATCATGTTTATTTATTAAAATAACTAAATTATCTCGTGGTAGAATTTTTTCCTTATTTTTATTAATTACCTTGTCCTATTATTTGTTAATTTGTTGTATGCTTAAGGAAGAACTTTACCAATTGATTGTTAAGGTAGTCTATATCGCGGTTAGATCTGTCAAGAAGCAAAACAGAAAAAAAAAGAGATCCAAATGAGATAATTATAGGTTTTTGTAACTGTAGGGAGATGCATTTAATTGATGTAATTCACGCCATTTTTTTTTTTATCGTTTGCGGTTTGGCTAGACTTTTTTATGTTAATTTACGACTATAAATCGAACTGAAAAAAGGTTAGTGACTAAGCTATTTTTTCTGAATTTTAATTCTGGAAACGTGTGTAAGAAGTGTCAAATTCGCACCGTTTTGAGATATTTTACGTCCATTGTTTTGCTTAACCAAATGCCAGATTTAGTTACTATTGTATTATTTGTGTGTCGGTGATCTAAAATAACCCAAAAGAATTATTTCTAGAATAGATAAATCGACGATTTGTCGCAATGGAAGATGCTCTTTTGTTTAAGGACACACACGTTGCTCCCGAAGAACATTCTCCCGCATGGAATGTCATTCTGTATGACAACAGAAGACGGTACAGGGCGTGGGACTCCAGGATGTAGAAGACATTTATAAACTAAGCTTGTCACAATTGGCGCGACAGGAGAACTCCCCTCCATATCATCTAAGAACGACGAAAGATGGATTGAATAAGAGGGTGTACCCAAACAATTTCCTGTTTTATCTCGACGTATAACAGCTTTCTTCCCCCCGCTACTAAATGCGGTTTTTATGAAAACAATTTCGTCTTTCTTTCCTAGATTTTTCACTCGAATCGAGTGTGTTTAGTCTAGTCTATAAGCATTTAGCATCCCTACGGAGTCTCGTCTAACAATTTAATCATCCAAACTTGTTACGACAATTTCTCATTAAATTTTATAGCCGACTATTATAATTGTAATGTAGATGTTAATAAATAATCAGACGTTAATCGGCATTTTCGAATATTTCATGTCGAAAATCTATTAAGTAATTTGTCCTCGATACGTATCTGTCGCGAATCGAAGTAATGCGATCGCATTAATCGAAACCACATGCTACATTGTCAACATATAACGGGCATTGACGCCGTATTCTGTCCAAATGACATTAATTGACGTCATTGTCCGGTTACTGTCATCAATCATGTGACCTTGACTACACGACAAAGAGGGAAAGAAAAAGAAAAAAAGTACGAAGAAAACAATTTTTCTTTACTGATCCAAACCAGAATATTATGACAGAATGTAAACACCATGTTATTCAGAACATATATTAATGTAAGCTGTAGTTTTTGATGAAAACTGCGATTCTAATTAGGTCACGCGATGTGTAAATATTTTTTAAAAGAAGTTTATGGATTCATTACTTTTTATATCTTAAAAGTTGGTGTTGTCAAAGTACTTTAACTATTAAATCTTTCTTTTGTAAATACAGCCAAACCTCTGAACAACGGCCACTGACAGGAACATAAAAAACGGTCGTTATTTACAGGTTATTTTGTATGCATTTAAAAACATTCTTGAAAAAATGACTGCCATTTAAAAGGGGACGTTGGTGAAGGTTGAACTGTATATATATAGTATAATTTTATAAAAATACAGTTTAACAGAAAAGTTTATAATGCTTTATTGTACATTAAGTTCAGATTTTTATTAGAAAAGTTATTGGGTTCTAGTAGCATGTGCAATATCATCTTTCTACTTAAACCACTGCAAAAAAGAGGAGGAGGAAGAAAACGAGAAAAAAAAACAACTTACATGGCAAAACACGCTCCTTTATCGATTTTCTCATAAAATTATAGCTTCTCATTATATTTCTTGCTAAGGAATCGACTTCTCTGTCTCCGAAAATAGAACAGAAGAAGTTGGTAATCCCTGTTGGAAAATAATCCTAAAGTTTTATTTTGAAAAGTGAAAGAAATGGTTTTTAAAAATATATCACATGTTACGTTGATTTATGCTAATGAATGCACTTTTTCTCTTCTATTTATCTCGGTTAAGTGGATTAGATGTGATTAAAACTGATTTATCGAGTTAATTTAAAGCTATATATATTATAAAATTCGTTTTTTNTAGTCCCATTATCCACTCCTTCCAAAACTATGTCCTCTTTTTTCCCAAGACCTTTAATAATCCAATAAATTAGTTTAAATTAATAATATAAATAATACAATTTTAAAAATTAAAAAATATTTTTACCTTCAATTGTGATGCTTTCGTCAAACCAACCTAAAAATATACATATATATTTTTTTAAATTATAATTTGTATAAAATTGTAAACTTTGCAAATATAAAGAAATCTGTTAATTCTAAAATACATACCGGTAGCAATTTTACATGTTAGATAACAATTTCATAAGAATATTTCTGCTATTTTGAAGCATTAAGCATGAAAGTGTACTAAAACAAGAATTAAGTAATTAAGAATTGAATACTTCTTCACTGGAGCCGGAAGAATCTAGAGGCCAGGCCATAGTCGAAACGATGTCATCGGAAGAGGGACCCGGACTTCTGTCACTCAGTATTAATTCGTAAGTAGGATGTTGCATGTTACACAGTATAACTGTACCCAAGCTGTTTTCTATTATTTCACTTTTTTCTATTAATGTTGTTAACCATTTAATGCTGAAAAATAAGAAATTATATAGCAATTCTTCAAAATTCAAAAGTTATTTAAAGTATAATCAATAATATAAAATTATATTTCATTAAAAATTAAGAGAAACACTACAGTTTCTAGCAATCAGAAATGAACATTTATATAACAACATATTAACAATGGCATTATTGTTAAAGCATGGCCATTAACAATATATTGCTATGAATGGTTTTAAAACTAAAATACAACAAAATTATATTTTTATTTGGCCTTAATGCCATAGTATACTGTATTGCATCTAGTATTTGATGATAATATGTAATTTCCAATTTAGAATAGTTAATGATTCTTATAGGCAATATTAAAATTTTAAATAGGATATATTTAAATTGTAAATATTCCTTTTTTTCTCTGTTTAATATATTAAGTTTAAGTTTATGCAGATTTATAAATGATTGCTACAATGAATAAAGATTAGCTTTTATTCATTACAATTTCAGTTTGTTAAATACTTTATACGTTTCTTGAGAACAATTCATAGTATTATAATAAAGAAAAAACACCATAAGTTTAAAAACAATACTAATTTATAATCAATTCCTATAATTATCTTTATTGCAAATTATTTTGATGACTTTCTATGGCAATTTTCAAAGTTGGAAAAGTGTAGACAGATTTGTTGTGAATATTTACATATTAACATGTAATCTTGCCTATAATCTTAACCATTCACATATGGTATAATCATATAATACATTATGATAGTTTCTTCTTACCTAAAAATGCCAAAAGATTTGCTACGAATGTTTAAAAATATTTCATATAATGGAGGAACATTGATAGTTTATAATAGTGATGCAAAACCTTTTCTGCATGCGGGACACATTTTTTCTTATGAAGTTACAAGCTTTAAGCCTGCTTACAAGTTAGTACAGTACCAACATATTCATTAACCACTAGTAGACTAGGCCTAGGTACTAAAATAATGTATGCTAATTCCATGCAAACTAGTAATATATAGTTTATTCTCATTTTTTTTTACTGGTCAAGATTAAACTGTAGGTTCTTTGTCATAAATTAGGTTTGAATAATGGCATACAACAGAAAATAAAATTAAATTGTAAAAGCACGGGCATTATGGACTATGGATTGCTCGTGAATTGTTTATAATATATATATAAAGTCTGCCAGATTAGATATAATGATAACAGTATTTATATTTTTACTGCTTTTGACCAATTATAATCTTATTATCCTATTTTGTTAATATTAGATTTATAAATTAGATCATGTTTCATAAAAAAAGACAATTTATAGCTTTTTGCAAAGACCAATTTGTTTTGAAATATTCACTTAAAAAGTCTAACAACTTTTTAACTGTACACAAGAATATTAGAATTAAACTTATTTCAGAAATCAAATTTAAAAGGAAAAAATTTATGAGACATTCTGTCCTCATTATTAGTTTCATTAATAGAAATATAATAACAAAAATTATTTTCATATTAAATTGTATTTTTATAGAAACTAATTTTATTATTTTTTCATTAAAATACTTTCATTTCATAATGTGTTTATTTTTATTGAAAATATTGTGATAATAAGCATTTAATCTATATAATAATCTATTGACATCCTGCTACAGATAATACATTATAATTTATTAATGAAGCAGAATCTTCATCTTCTGTTTAGCTTAATATAGATGTTAAATACATCCTTATTAGCTCAGTCTCTTATTTTTCCCAACTAAAATTTAATTTCTTAACTATCAATTTTTTCTATTCTTCTATTTCAAAAGTATATTAAAAAATATGGCTTTGTCATATAAATAAAAAATCAATACTTTTTTAAGTATAATTTGTTGAATTGATTATCTGCTTCAGGTCATAAATTTACCAATACTTCATTCTCTTCTTTACAGCATATTTATTTAAAAATTAAATAGTAATATTTTATTTTATTTAAAATGCAAAATAAATATTTTGAATTTGTATAAAGCTACTTTGCCTTTGTTGTAATTTAATTAAATACTGTTCACTTTAATTTCGATAGAATGTCACTTAGTATATATAATTCAAAATACTGTATACATAGAGAGACAACCACTAATAAATATCACGATTTGTGAAAACAAAAATTTGTAAATACTGTACGTATAACCAATATCCAGCATATATGTAGAGTATTTATTAATATATTTCCAGTTTTTAGTAGTTGAATAAAACTTTGATTTAATTAATTTAACTCATTTAAAATTTACCTTTGCAACAGTGGTAAATAATCATCACTGTCTTCATTTTTAGGAGGAGCATTTCCAAGTAAGTTATTTATAGTTATTCCATATCCACTGTTTTTGCTTATAATTGTTTCTTCTAATGAGAAAATAGTGTTAGTTGCTGAATCAGTTACATCTTCCCCATCAATTTTTATTCCACTTTGTCCACATTCTTTTACTGTACATTTCTGAAGTATTAAAGTTGTACTACAGTTAATCTGTATGCCATCATCCTAAAAAAAAAATAAAGTTTACAGTTTATTTTCATAGTATATATTCACTTTAGAGAAAAAAAAATTTTATTCATACATTAGAATTTTTAAATATGCAATCTGTAGCAATAGTTTGAGCTCTAGATAAGATGTTTAAACAATTTTTAGCTTTACTTCCATCTATTATACAATCAAATAGCTTCAACTGTCCGCTGTGAACAACTATAATGCTCATAACTTTTTCTCTTGATAGAATAGTCAAATTGGAAAGAGACACTACTGGAGCAGCAACATTTATAAATATAGTCCCATTATCCACTCCTTCCAAAACTATGTCCTCTTTTTTCCCAAGACCTTTAATAATCCAATAAATTAGTTTAAATTAATAATATAAATAATACAATTTTAAAAATTAAAAAATATTTTTACCTTCAATTGTGATGCTTTCGTCAAACCAACCTAATCCTTTGCATTTGTAATTTCCAGGTAGAATTAAAATATGATCTCCAGAATGACTATTAGCAATTGCAGAAGGAAGACAATGATGAAATTCTAATATTGTAGAAGAATCAACTGGTAAATTCTGGAAAAAATTTATTATTTATATAATTCAAATTAAAATATATTTATAAAGTAATAAAATCTAATCATATAATTTTAAAATGTAAAAAGAAATCACCTGAAGTGATGTCTTATCAAATTTTTCGCCAACTACATGTGTAACAGGATCAACTTGATCTTGATTTTCTATGTAAGTTTTTTGATATAAATCTTTTTTTATTACTAATGTCCTAAAAAGTATTTTATGATTAATTAATAATCATACATTTACATAAATTAATAATTACACAAATCAAAAATTAAAATAAATATTTAATTGAGTCTAATAGATTAAACCATATCAAAATTGAAATTAAAAAATTTCACTTTTTCTATTTTCAAATTCTTTAAAAATGTCTTCTGTTGTTTATTAATTTTTATATTTTCAAAAAATAAAAATGTATTAGTGTAATTTTTTTTTATTTAGAGGTTTAAATTATATTCAAGACCAATTATATTGTATAACTGTTCTTTGATTATGATCTGAACCCATATCCTTTGGTAACATACCAAATATTCTAATCTGTTAAATTAACTATACCCAATTATCCTATCTATTAACAGGTCTTGTAATATTATCCCTCAAAATATTAATCATATTATTTAAACTGACTTGTTAATCAGTTATTAAAAACAATGATCTAGAACCCAAATGTTAAACATACTACTTCATCTAAGCTTTCTTTTTTTAAGAATATATAGTTAAAAAACATATGTAGTTATACAGTTATATAACTGTATATAACAGTTAACCATAGATATACATAGATTGATACATTTAATTACTTTTTGCATCAGTTATTTATTTAACCATTTGATTGTTACATCTACTTAAATATCAAATTATTCTTATTCAACTAAATATAGTCACACAAGTCTGATTTTAATGTATTTAATGAAAATAAAATTTTAAAACTAAGAAGTAAATAGTACAATTTAGTAGAAAAATAGATAAAAGTTAAAAAATAAACTTTCATAAATACACAATTGTTAATTTATCCAAACAATAATTTTTATTTCTATTTTAGGAAAAAGAGTTGACCAAAGAAACTATTATATATTAAATAATGGTTCTACATTTTATTATTTAAAATGCAAATATTATTTATATTCTAAATAAATTAAAAAATAAAAAAAAGATGAATAAAATAATAAACTTCTATTTTCTTATATTTAAGAACTGTTTTATCATTGTATTCTATATGTAACATAATTATGAATGAATAATTTATACTTATACATCATGAATAAATACATATAAAATTATTTGATATTTTAAAATAATTATTAATTTTTAGACATTTTACTTACTTAAAATGCATTTCTCTATTTAATTTATAATATTTGAATAAAGATATTCTTTTATACTGTACTTTTTTTTAGCATAGTATTGAAGTTCATTGAAATCTTAGTTTATAACAACACAGTAATTTTTTTGTTTAATTTGAGTTTATTCATTTCATTATGTTTTTTATTCATTGTGAATATGAGATCATTTCTATATGATTCATCATTAAAACTAAATGATTAAATTCAGTTTCTTAGATAATAAAATGTATTTAATTTATGAATAAAACATTGATATCTAAGTATAAAGTGTAAATACAAGTCTCAATTAAGTACTATGATTAAGTAGATTAAAAACTATCAAGTTGTCATATTAAGTTGTGCAATAAAACTCATGTCCACATGAAGGAAAAATAAAGTATTTATAATATTAAGAAGTTAAGTTAAATATACAATAAATTCTGCTTACTGTAATTATGGATATCATCATCAGTCATTTAACGTGATCAAAATTAGTAACTTCCAAAACATTTAAGCTAAAATGTACTGTAAAAATTTCATTTATACAAAGATGATGATAAGTATTTTTAAGCCATCTTTTCATATTATCAGACTCAATATGTGGTTGATAAAATGCAATCATTATCAGTCTTAACTAGTACTTTAAAATCTACTTAATGTAATAACTTTGAGACTTGTTTGAATAACCAAGTAACATTAATATTAAACACAGGAATAAATAAACTAGACTACAATTAGTAGAAATTCTGGTTTTATTGATTCTTACATTAAAAGCACATATTAAAATAATTTTAAAAATATACAGTATAAATTGAAGATTTATATATTATAATTATTATTATTATTAATTAAATATGTAATTCATCAGGGTATTGTTTATCTATATAGTCTTTAAAAACAGATATGGTATAATTGAAGTAAAGAATGCCAGCAAAGTAAACTATTATGAGAAAATAACAATTAAGTAGATTCTACTGTATAAATAATTATTAATATTGCCAATTTATAAAATATGAAGAACGAAATAAACAAGAACAAATAATAAAATGATACAGTGAAAATAAAAAATAAAACTAAATTAATTTTAGTGGTATTTTTTATAGCTAGTTTATTCAATTGTTGGAATCTCTTTAATTAAGTTACTGTATATAAATATAACTTTAATTATATCAGAGTTTGAAGTTCTGTTTAGAAAAACAACAGCAGAAGTTGATAAAAATGCTTAAATTAAATGAAAAAACATATAAAACAGTATATCTGTATGTACGGACCATCCAATGAATTGATAAAGTCAAAAACAATAGCAATCTAATTACAAAGCAAAGACAAATCCAATTATTTGTAAATATTTATATTGTTAATTTAGAGAAAAATTTAATATTGTAAGAAAAACATCAGAAGTAATATAATAAATCTATAATTTCCAATTATGCAATATAAATAATATTTGGAGATAATTAAAATCAAATATATGACATATAATTATACTCTTATTGATCTGCTTTCAGTAAAACATAAAAATTAAAAATTTTTTCAATCAAAATGTCAAAGGATTTTAATTTTGCAACTTTTTTTTTATCAGTAATAAATTTACTTAAAATGTTACATTTTAAATAATTTAAATTTACAATCAAAATATTTTTTGTAGCATTTAAACTTTAGAATATCAAAGAATTTAAAAACCAAAAAGTGATTTTCTATTTTCAAATGAAAATTGAAGACACTGTGTAACATTAGCTATGAAAGGACTCATTTGTTAAATAAGTAGATATTCATTTATAATGAACATTTCTAAAATTGATTAATTGTAAAGTTTTTAAGTAAATATTTGTCAACAGTTCTCTATTTATGTAGTAGTCAATTTTCAATAAACAAATAAAACTACAACATGTAGACTCTGGTACAAACCATACATATCATATAATTTAGTAAAGATTTAGGGATACACTCCTTAGATCCTACTTGGAAGAGACTGATACTAAACAAAAAACAAAACTCTTTGTTTTGTCCTTAATTAAAATTTATGTTTGCACAAATTTAGTATGTTTAATTAAAAGAATCTGTGGGAGCTATAATCTGTCAGAAGAAAATAGAAGGACAGATAGTTCCAATCTGTGATTGGATTTTTATTTTTAATTTTAGCAAACATGAAATTTAAAATATAAATTTTTTTATAATAAAATATAAATTTTTAAAAGTATATTTGTTTATTGACAAAAGTTATCTGTAACAGATAATAAATCTAATGTTACATAATTTAGCATTGAAATAAAAAATTCTCTCTCCTAATCTTACATTTATGATTTATGAGAAAATATCTTAAGAAACAGTTTCATTTCATTTTTAAATTCCATTATATTCACTTAAAATACACCCAAACCTCATGTTTGCCTCTGAATCTGGCACTAAATTGAAGATAAAATAATTAAACTATGTATGGTAATGAGATCTACAAACAATTTTGAGTTTGTTAACCTCAAATCAAGTGAATTTCAAACTTTTAATGCCATTTGCAATGTAAAATTATATATTTAGTAATTCACAGATATTGAAGGGTTCTCTGTTCACTATTTACAGGGAAGATTTGTTCACAAGTATTCATTGGCATGTTACAAGGTGGTGCTTTTAGCAGGATGCTATATCAAGGTTTGTATGTAGTTTGTATAGTTTATAGTTTTTCTATAAAAATAAATGACTTGCACTGATGTTACTAGAATGAATGTAAGTGGTTTCTTTTTTTCATAGGCAAGTTGTTTACAATTTAATGTGCTTCTATTCTACCACAAGTTTCCATTTTTAAAAACACAAATATTGAGAAATAACAAATATTTTGAGAAAATTTAAAATAATTGTTAGCTACTTAATTAACAATTATATTAAAGTTTAATAGCCAAGGAATTAATAAATAAAATCATTTACATTGTTAAGTAAAACCTAAAATTAATGAAAAATGACATTAGATACTACAATATCAAAAGTATCTGCAATGAATATTGGATATTGATATCATGGAATATCAATTATTTAACATTTGTTACAGATATTTAAAAAAATTAGATTGGTTATGCTCATCCATTTGTATCAAAGAATATACAACATATTAATTTTTACAGTCATAAAGCATGATATCTGCTGAATGCTGTTTCAATTTGAAAATAATACTTTGTCACAACATAGATTATAATAATAGTTCAAAATGTTATAAAATTACATTATATGTTGGCAATTATGAATTATCATGATACGTATGTATACATATGCATCTAATACTTGGTTTACACACTAATTCAATTCCATTATCTCTGTTTAATATGGTCATTACTTTTTACACTATAAAATTTTAATTTAACACAATACTTTAAAATATTTTTCTGTATTTTCTTTTAAAATTAAGTATTTGATAAAATTGAAGTGCTTATCTCTGTTATTATGGCATTGCAGTTGCACCACAATTACTCTCAATTTATTTGTTCTGAGATGGGATTCTCTGTTTTGTATTACTATATTACAACTTTTTACCATCTACATTAACGATACTTCCTTATAAATTCTTCATATTTTATTTATAAATTTCCCAATGTGAGAAATTTATAAAGAATTTAAGAATTAAATAAACTTTGATAACCAGCAACATCTCTGGTAAACAAATTAAGACTGAAGTAGTTAGTAATGGATATGACACAACATAAGATTTTTAACTTAAAAGTAGAAAAAAAATTGTGTTATCAACAGCAAAGAAGATAAATAAAATAATTTTTACATTCAAATAAAAATGATATATAATAAATATAAAATTAAATCATTCATTTTATATCAATTAATAAAAAAATGAAAAGTCTCTATCCATTTTCCATATAAATGCTAGTCTTAATTTATATGGGATCAACCTACTATGTAAATCAAGGATTAGATTTATATGTACAGGCTATATGTAGAAGTGGAGTACTGTATAATGTTAGAATATCCAAAGTCACCATTGCCTTTCATTGAAAATTGAAAATAAAAGTCATTATTTATTGTTTAATCTAGACTCATTTTCAACACTGATATTTAGTTTTTAATTTATCTATCAGGGAATAAAACTAAATATGAAAGTGTTAAATATGGGTCAAAATTAAACAATAAATAATGACTCCTATCCAAAATCCTCAGTTAAAGGCATGACAGGATATTCTACTACTGTGTTGAAATCATGTTCATCAATTAAATCTTTAAAGAAAAAAGTTTATGATTACACTCACATCAAACCATAAACTTTTTATCTGATACACAGAAATTTCCAAAAAATGAGAAATTAGGATATTAATGTCTAACAGATCTATCTGGAAAATTAATATAGATATGAATTTTCTATAATTTTTATTCTTATATTAATTTATTAGCTTTATAAAATTAACTTTTCCATCATATTATAAATACCTGATTATAGGATTTTCAAGCATTTCCATTTTTTTCTGCAATTCTTCAAATTTTGTTTGGAGTTGTAAAGTTTCTACGACATCCTCTTCTCTAAGTTCGGATTCTGAATCACTAACATTCATGTTATTTCTTAAGTTTTCTAGTTTTTGTTTAATCTCAAATCCTTCAGTTAAAATTTCATTTGCACTTTCAATAACATCTTCTGTTACAACTTTATTTTTTACATCAAAAAAACTAATTAAAATAAAGAAAAAAAATTTTAATTTTAAATAATCATATTAATTTGCATTATTTTTATAAGAATATTAAATTATTACCTATTTATTTTAACTGAATATTCATTTCCTGATATTTATTATGAAAAGTAATTTAATATTTTAATATTTTTTTTATGATATTTAAAAAGTTTAAATAAAATTGAAGTTTTTATTTTCTAATAATAAAAATATAATCTTAGAGCATGTATATTTGTTTATCATCATAAAATTGTTAATAATAAATTTTTTTTACAACTTACAACTTCAATCTTGTTTTTAAATACTTTTCAACAAATTTATAATCATCATCATCATCATCCCAAGGTCTCCATATATATTTATAAAAAAATCTAAATAAGGAATAAGATACTTTAATAAAATCTCCATGTTTTATATTAATTATTATTTAGTATAAAGTTTAAATAAATAATTACCTTACATGTTCGATAGCAATAGCAGTTTTAAGGTATAATTCATCATCATCTCCTTCGCTTATTGGATAAAGTTCTATTAATGGGACATCAACAAAGTTTTTTAATTTTATTAAATTTTCTAATTCTGGAATGCAATTTAAATTGGAAATTTCTTCTTTCGAACTATTCAAAGCACTCAAAATTTTAACTTCTGCTTCTAATTTTTGCAAACTGACATCTTTCACCTATTTTGTTTAAGAAAATTGAAGTAAATTGTATAAGAAAATTAATTTTAGATAGAGCAAATAAACTTTTTAAGAAACAATTAATGAACTAACAGGTTTTTAATAAGCTCTCGTATTTATCATGGGTTCAGTCAGGCCCACAATGGGGTTGGCCACATGAGGAGCAGCAGAGCTCAATATATCTCAGATGAATCATTCAAGAAATTCCAGGAGAGTTTGCTCAACCTGATTCAATCCTGGATGCCCTAGAGCAATAGACTAATGCCTTAACCTTGAGCATCCAGTCATCTGATACAAGATATTAATCACTCCAAGACTTAAAGTATTAAAATAAAAATGTAGTTTCTAACCTTCAAGGATCAGTAACATCTGTTACAGATTTATATCTGTTATAGAAATGCTATTTTTTGATTAAATTAAACAATAAGAAATGATAATAAATATTTATGTTAAGATAATTTAATCGTAACTTGTACAGAATAATAAAAATTCAACTATACTGCATTACAAAAACATAAATAAAACATTTAATATAAAATATAAATTCGACTTTACAAAGATAAAACTTTGCATTTTGTCCTTCCTTTTCGCCATTTTATCTTTGTAAAGTCAAATTTATATTTTATATTTATTAAATGTGAATAATGCTGGCCATGTACTTGTATTAGTTTTTTATAAATAAAACAATTTAACTAAATAGAAACATTAAATTTAAACTGAATTGTTAAATTAATTTTAAAAAATTGTTTTTGATATCCTTTTTCCTACTTCTTTACTTACTAAAATAGAATAAAAATTTTTCAATTCCTTATAATTCATGTTAAAAAAAAATAAACATTCACTCTAATTTTTAGAACCTTTTCATTTAATTAATCATTTTCTAATATTACTTACTAGAACATTAGAGAACACAGTAATTCTCATTAATGTTCTTCTGTAGCTCTCTTGTACTTTCTGAATGTCTCCCTCACATTCTGCTTCTGTTCAAATTTAATTTGTTTGTTTATTTTTCAAATTATCTGGTGTTTGTCGTTTTTATTTGCCAAATTTTTGAAAATAATTATAAAAAGTCCTTGTCTGGTACTATATACATAAGCTACTATTCTTTATTTATGAGAACTTGCAATTTACTTAAAAACACTAATATGGAAAATTTTAATTAAAGACTATATATAAAAAATTTATTTTTCCAGTTTTTTCTTTATTAAATTAAATGTAATGAAAATAGATAATTTTTAAACATATATAATGTTAAAGTTTTGACTATACCCTGTGGGCATTAAGAGGGCATTTTTATCATTTCTGTCATGGTTTTGGGCAGGATCAAACTAGAGCAGCTGGTTGTGAAGGAAGGAGATAGACATCCAGTATAGACCATTCATGAAAAATTCCTGGGGTTCTTTGCCCACTCAGATTCGATCACAGATCTCTAGAGCAATGTATGGATGCCTTAACTGCCTCAGCCAACAACTGGTTCTATTGTTAACTTAAAAACTTTTACATTCCTAATAAATAAAACATTGCATTACAGTGGACTCTTATATAGTGACCATCTGATACATCAGATTATTGACAAAGCAAATAGTTTTGTTACTTCTTGTTATTAGTTATACATAATGAACTCTTGATACAGTGAATGATTTATCTTTGAGAGTTTATCATAGAGAAAGACCAATGTTTAATAGAATAATCCTTTCTCAAATCATTTAGAGAAAGAAAGATTATTTTATTAAAATAAAAGTGCAAAATTTGTTTAAATTGTTAAGTAGTTTTTATAAATACCATATTAAGAAAATTTGGTAAATAAAGATATCTGCAACTTTCTATTGTTAGAACTATATTTATTTGACAAACTATTTATATTAATTATTTTAATATCCTTTTTACATTTGTTCATTTTTATCTTGATATACTTTTATTATAATTAATTACTAGCTAATAGATTTATTATTTAAAATGATAAATTTTTAAATACCATATATATTATTTTCTATAATTAGTTATGTTTAAAAAAATTAAAGACATTTTAAAACAAATTTATCTAATAAATCAAAAATGAACAGAATAAAACAAACCAGTTTTACTACTCATTTTATTTCAAAAAACTGAATAAAGAAAAAAATTAAACTGTACATTAACATAGATTGTCAGATTAAAATCCATTTATCAAAGCCTTTAGAAATGTATAGTTTATTGTTATGTAAATAGTATAATAGTATATCTTACTTAGCATGTTTTAAACTTCTATATATANTGTTTAATTATAAGTAATTGAAAGATAAAAAAGAATTAACAATAAACAATGATTTATTGAGATTATTCAAAGCTGAACAATTTTATCTCTAATAAGTAAATTTATTTTGAAATTACATAGCATTGCATTTTACATTATTATTTTATCAAAATTAATTCTGACAGATATTCAACATAGCATAAATAAGCATTAACTGATTTATAAAAAAATTAAATTGAATGATCAGTAATAATTATTGTTTACTGGTTATTCAATTTCAACCTTTTTAAACATCAATTAAAATTATACAATTAATTCAGATTAAAATAATGATCTTTTGCATTTAATCTTGTGTTAGATCATTAATGAAAAAGATTATTTAAAAATATTAAATTTACTTCTTACCTTTCGGCATCCATCTGGTTCCATCTTTCCAAGTAGCATTTCGAACTAATAAACACAAAAATATATTTACTATTAATCTAATATAATAACAATACTAAAATTTTGCAATTTGTATCTCAAAAATATCATAAATTATAGCATAAATTAATAAATTCTTACTTCATTTGTCTCCTGAGCTAATTCACTCACACAGGATATGAAGAGATTTTCTTCTTTTATGCCTCGAATGTTTCTAATATAGAAATTATTTTAAAATGAAATCAAAACATTTTTTTTATTTTATTATTTCTGAAATAGTTACCTAAGAAAATAAAAATATTGAATGGCTTCTCTGGGATCGGTGATTTCGAATTTTTTTGTGTACATCATGATTAATCTGGCAAAGTTGAGTCGACGCATAGGCGGTTTGTCGGCTTTATTTTGGGACACTATTTATGACAATAATATGATCGTAATAAGTATACTATTATAGCGGAAAGAGTTATGTTAAGATAATTTTAAGATTTTTATTTTGAATTCTTACATAATGGTGCATGAATATTGGTGGGTAAGGCTAGTAAATTCATCTCGTACAAAGTTATTGCCAAATGGACCGCGTGACACCTTAAATGTTCGATGCGAGATAGAAATTCGATTGCAGCTTCGAACTGGGCAGTGAGAAAGAGAACTTCAAAATATAAAAATGGTTGTTCGTAAGCATTGAAATGAGTTTCACCTAAAAAGAAATTAGTATTTTTAATTTTACTAGATTATGTTAAAATATAGGATAATGATTTAATAGTTTACCGTGATCTTCCAATAAAAGGGACTGTAACTGTGACAGGGTTATTCGATCTAATTGCATTTGTATGGAACTCTCTCCTATTTCTTCAGACCGTAACTGACAAAGCTTTAACCATAAATAGTCGTCTGTCTTTTCGGCAACTTCCGAGTGATCCTCATTCATATTGCAACAAGCAAGAATACAATATACAGCTCTAAATAATAAATATTATATAAACAACAAAATAATCNATATTTAAATAGTTATATTATATATATATGCATACTAAGAAACTTATCATATATATTATCAGTCATTTACCAACCTCCAAAACATATACAATAAAATATGTTCAAAAAACTTCTTATTATAATCAGACTTTTGGTTATAGTTTTCCTCTTCAGGAAAATAGACATTTTAAGCTATCTTTTATGGCTCAATTTCAATATGTGGCTGAGATGTGCAATCATTATCAATTATCATTATCAGTCTTAATCAGTGCTTTAAATGCTACATGTTGTTGTTTCAGAAAACTTATTTACCTCACATTATAGTAGTTTAAAGTATTGATATTAATTATTTCAATTATACTCTGGCTGAATTATAATCATAATTAATAAATTATACATTGTACATTTTTTAATTGTTTTAAAATGTCTTTTTAATGTCAGAGTCAATGAAATCAGAATTTCAATTAATTGTAATTACGTTTACTAGCTCCAGGATTATCAGTCAGTTATCAATGTAAGAGAGACCAAAGTGATTATAAGTAGATTCTACCATATTTAGAAAGTAAAAATATTAAACAATTTAAGCAAACAAAATATATTCTACATTTTATGTAGCATAAAATTTTAAAAGAAATAAAATTTCAGTATATTTTTATTATTATTAAAAACTGTTTTAAATAATAAACCTAATAGCACTGTTCATTATTATTTGCTGACTGTGGATGCACTAAAGTGTCTCATTAGACATCCAGCAAGACAATTTCAGGAATATTAAATGATAAATATTGATTACTGTAATTCTATATCTGTGCCAGAAATCATTGGCACATAAGAATGTAGACAAATCTGTATGAACAAAAACATTTGTTAAAGGTTCATGATTTTTTTACAAGTGAAAACTTTCAAAATCTATTATGTGTCAATCATAGCATAAAAATGCAGAAAATGATTATGAAATAAGCAAACTATATCTAATTAGGATGCAAGATGTTTTTGGCATTCCTTGTGATAACTGAAAACATGAAACTATACTTGTTTGTCTAGTCCAACACCAAGTTGTTCTTAGTGTTGGACTGGAACAACTTTTGGCCTGGAAATATATATACAAAATATTAGTCTATAAATATATGTATATCAAGGGCCAGAAGGCTGAGGTGGTTAAGGCATCAACAGTAGGCTGACACCTTAACCTGAAAGATTCAAGGTTAAATCTGCCAGGTTAAGAACCCCAGAATTTTTTAGGAAGCGGTCTGTCCAGATATGTTGGGTCCCCTTCCCTCATATTGCCTGGCCACTCCCAATTGTCAACCTGCCCAAACCTACAATAACTTAAAAAAAAAATCTCAGTGTCCACAGAGCAGAAAAAGTCCAAAAAACTCATGGGGCCTACAGGGCAAGTTGCAATCAGTTATTTCAAATTCTAAGTTACAAAATACACATTATGATGAGCCAAGTGTCAGTTTGTATGAGCCATTCTGTGACAGCCCATATCCAAATCGGGGCAAGTATTTTAAAATTTCAAATAATAGACCAAGTGTTTGCCATTAGCTTGATATCTATGAACCATTTCACAGCAGCTTATGGTTTGAATTAGAATAAGACTTTTAAAATTTAATACAGTAGACAGCACTTGTATTTTGTTTATTTGTCTCAAGTGAAATTTAACCTATAAAATAAGGAAAGGCTACACAACAAACAACCATTAGAAAATTTCCAATTTTTCAGTGGACTGGCCCACTGAGAAACTGGGAATTTTCTAGCTTAATCAAATCTGACATATTTCCTAATATCCTGATATATATACATATCTCTACATTATTGCTATAAATTTATATTTATCTTGAGTATCATCATTATCAGTTTTTGTTTTTTGATTGTTCAACTAACATTTATCCAATTGTATTTATTTAATCATAAAGTTTCTCTATGAACCAGAACAGGAATGATTCATATACTCAAGACATATGGGTACCAGATTACAATGTGTATTGGGCTAAAGTTTGTCTAAAGGCATAACCTATTATCTTTCGGTACCAATTCTTTTTAGGGCAGGTGCACAAAATAATACAGCGTGCTGACATGCAATACTGTTCAACCCAAGTAAATAAAAAAAAAAAAAAAAAAAACAATATCAGAATATATGACACGACTAACAATTTCACAGAAACAAAAATGCACAGAATCATATCAGGAGTATGCCAGGTAACCGAGAAGCCAAATTAGCAAGTGTGTGCTGTAATTGAATCTATCAGTAGCGTGCAGTGGCATTTGATGATATAGAAGCTGTGTTTCCATAAAAATTATAAACAAATACTGGAAATGACAAAAATAAACAGTTTATTTACTATAATTCTAAAATAGATACATTGACATGAAACAAAAACATAAGAACTTGTTTATGAAAATAATTGCAAAATATGTATTTATATTTTAGAAAATACAAGGAAAGCGGTGCTTCCATGGACTGCATGCCACCGGAATCTATAATCCTTATAATCAAGGCTACTTTTCAGCCAGAACATGCCAGTATGCCATACCATCAGATAGCATACGTATCAATAGGTGGTATATAGCACCAGCACTCAAGCAGTAAAAATTTCTATACAAAACTTCTAAACTTTGGTTTGGGTGAGAAATCTGAACAATAAAAACAAACTGGACAACTCTATCAACCACGACAAATACCACAAGCCAATTAGAGCAACACACGAAACAACTCGACGGGGATGGCGTCTTTTGTCGAGGGTCATTTTTCGACGAATGGACGAGCCCGTCGGGTAATCGTCTGTCTCCGCTACGTTCCGGTCAAGAAACAGGTACGGAGAAACGTTAACAACTTTTTGAAAGGAAAAGATAAAAACACGGTTATTAAAAGGGCATCATTTAGCAACCAACACTAAAAGATTGCACACACTAGCAGCTATAATATATAGTGCTATAATGTTACAAAAGCCCTACACAACTTATAGCATGTTAAAACCATTTGCAGCAGGCAGGATTTCATTCGTATAATGTCGCACCGAGTTTACCATATAATATAGCGTTACAGCGCTGTATATTTATCAGCAAGTGTGTGCCAACCTTAAATCAAAAGTAATAAATTATTATTAATGTGTACAAGTAAACATTCTCAAGAGCCAAATTCTTTCAATAATCATATTTATGGTAAAAGCCTCTCAATCAGGCTTACCAAAACTCTGATTTATTAGATAATTTGGAGCTTACCTCAACGATAAAGTCATAATCGAGTGACAGGCCAGAATATTTTTGAGGTCTCCAAACAGCTGACCATCCAACCGGTTCGATGGTTCGCGTAATATAATCGATCATAGCAGCTTCCACGCCGCTCGTATAAACATCTTTCAGTATTTCTTCGTCGTAAACGGTTAATAATTCGTCAAACGTCGAATATTCCAATTTAACTTTGTAAACGGAAGGAATCTTTGATGAAACACCAGTCTCCATCTTAATTCAAATTCGTAATTCGCGCCTCTTACGTAAGATGTAATTGACACTTAAATTTAAAAAAGAAAGTTATTAAAGAAATATAAATTTTAGTATATTTGTATAAATTAATGTAAAATTAATCGCTTTATAAAATAATTCATTAAAGTTATTTAAATATATTTAAGTTAAATTAATTTTAGTAGTGGCGTGTTAAGATTAAAATTCTATATTATAGCCGATATTTTATTTCTTAATTAAAATTAGACATCGATTATATCAAATTTAAATTTTTATTTGATTTTAATTACGATTTGTTTTTTCTTTAAATTTTATGTTTTTTTTTATTTATTTTATCTTTTCAAATTTAAGTTTTTGTCGGTAGAGTGTGCTGTAATTAAAAAAAAATGGATCCGATAGCGGAAGGTAAACAAGTTTCGTTTTTAATTGAACTCGAACCGATACATTTGGAACATTATTAATGATAAACGCTGATTTGTAGTATTACAGAATGCAAATATAAATAATCTATTGCGCATTGTGTAAATACTGGGTTTTTCGTATTCGTGGGAGTTACGTGTCAATATTTCCCGCGAATATCTGTACTTTGACTTTATCATCTCACGTGATTTTTACATATGCTTAAACACTTTTTCTATCACTTACGAACGACAGAAAAATGTTTAAATGTCGTTGAAAGGTCATAATTACGGTGTTTTTTTTATATTTATTTCTGGTTTTAGGCCCTTTACTGTTCAGAGAGCACAAAAAGACCATGCCATAATTACGTTTGACGATAACGAGTAACGTTGTAAACACGTGTTTCTGAAAATACTGATCAAAATTTTGAATAGATGAGACGAAGAATGCACAGGGATTTGCCGTATATGTGATGCACAAAGATTGCGAGCCATCTTAGGGTGCGACTATGCAGACGCGAGTAAGCGAGAAGAGGTTATGACGTTTCATACTCTGGTCTGTGTGGTCATAATAAACAAGAGCAAGAAACAGAGAGTGTGAAACGTCATCACCTCTTCGTACCATATATTCTTGCTTGCTCGCGTCTGCATAGTCACATCCTTACTCGGATGTTGCTGTGAGAGAGATGCGCATGCTAGACCATCACTTGGGGTGATTGTGGCCAAATTTTTACTATGATAACGTCGTGGAAACCTCGTTGTACAGATTGTCACGTTATTCATTAAACCGTTACGTAAACATTACCAAATAATATGTTTCATGAACAATTAAACAGAAAATTTTGACAGATGTTTTACTTTTTTATGTCATAAATACAATGATATAAAATATTTCAAATATCAAAGCTTATTTATTTACATATATTAAAGCTAACAGAATTTGTCAGTTTATATGATATACAATAGCAATTTGTTAATTTTCTACAACTGAATTTCAAAAATAATGAAAAATAAAAAAATTAAACAGTTGAATTATTGTATCACACTGATATATGGTACGTTACAGTAATTGCTGAAAGAATCTATTTAGTAGATGAGGTATGATAAGTGTATAATAGGTATAAATACAATGAAATAACTGTAAAATGAAAAAGTTTATAAAAAATTTAAAAGAAATGGAAGAGAATTTTTATAATATAAAAAATGAGGAATTTCTTACATGTTATAAATAAAATTTTTACTGTTTAAAATAACTTCAGATATGAACAGTAAGATATCAACATATATAAACATCTCAAAGCCAAATGATTTCCAGATTAATCATTTGATTTTTTATTATTCTAATCCGATTAATCCGGCAATTGTTTGGCTTATTAAGAAATCAATTTGGAAGTTGATATTTTTTATCAGTTGTTCCCAAAATGTAGTACAAAAGCAAATGTTAAATACAAATACGAAAGGCTAGGTTGATTAGCCTATGGATGTTTCAAATAAATTGACCTAACTTTCATTGTCTACATATTTTATTGTTTCGACTAATAACTTATCGATTAACATTTATTTGAATGAATTTACACAGGACGTCCATGTAAAACTGACCCAATCTCAGATTGAATGAATTGTTAAAATTTTCACGTTGGAAAAAGACAAGCCAATTGAAACACGATAAAATTAGGCAAAGAAGCTGTTTGAAACATAATTTTATTCACAAAACACTATAGAAACTTATAGATAACTAATGCTTCATCATTTAAGATGGACCCAGGTGTGGACTGCTTTGTATAATCTCAACATAAAATAACNGTTTTAAATTCGAATTTGTTATTGCGTATTGGTTCGATTATAGAACGATTGTAAACGTTTCAGAAAATTGATCAAATTGAAAATAGTTCGTTTGATTTTCGGCAATTCTCTTCAGCGGTAGGTGTTATATAACAATTACTATGGTTATTGAAATATTGGATGTAAATGGGGTTTGCTTGCAAAACCTCCGCTGACGAAGTCGCGGGTAACAGCTAGTATCTTATAATTATATTATTGTTATAATAATGTGCTTTTAAAAAGTTATCTGTTAATATCATGTTATGTATTTCCGAGAACATGTCTTCCTTTTTTTTTTGTTTGTTTCTTCACTATTAAGTGCATAAATAGACACAAAGCATTTTTCATTATCTTTATTGATCTTCTATTGGCCGATACGCGTTTCGGGCAAGGCTCCTCATCCGTCGGCATTACATCCGAAATCTTCTTTAAATTTCATTGCTACATATATATCTTTTTATGTTTAAAAATGCCTTGTGTCTATTTATGCACCTAGTAGTGAAGAAACAAACAATATCATGTTAGTTATTATATATGGCCAAACTTTGTCACAACAGGAGACATATACTGCCTATCAGAAATATGAGAGCTGCATGCTCTATTGAAACTGTATTTTATACATGGCAATCCATTTATGTCAATTGCAAATATTACAAATAAATTGTTATTTTTCAACAAATAATCCAAAAATGCAAAAAATTTGGATGGTCCCATTTGAAAATCTAAAGTTACTGTTACTATCCCATCCACAAGGGGAAGGGGTGGCTTAATTTCTATGTAGTTCAAAAGGCTCCTCCAAAATAATAAATTTTCATATAAGACACTTTTTCAATTTTATGTATATTTCAGGAGATATTTACAATTGACATTATAAATAGACCCAGGGCGTCCTCATAACTCTGGACCCATCCAAGCAAAAAACATACAATCACAATCTGATCAAAGTGACCACCACTGTATAATGTACACTGGTGAAGAGAAAATTTCCTCTCCTCGAGTGCAAGATGGATCACATTTACTGACACACTTGCACAGTACATTCTTTATGATGTTAAATACTGTGAATTTTTCTCTGTATAAACTTATGAGTCCAGACTTACGGGGCACTCTGTATATATAACTTACATGAGTGCCTCAGTAAGGATCTAGAGCTTCATGCATCTTGCAAGCCACAGTTTGGAATTAAATTTACTTATTCTTCAAAATTTTTCTAATTGTAAAAATTAATTTTTTCTACTTTGATAATGTGACAGTTTTAGATGTTTAGAGTGTTGCTTTGCTAATAATGTAATATTAAATTAGAAGTTTAAACTGAAAAGCTTTAAAATTTTAATTCATTTTTTTTTAATTTTCAGTTGATAAGAAAGATACTAATGAAGAATGGTTATGCAAAAGGTTAGTCAATATTTTTAGTTAACCATGTAATTTAAATCTGTTTTTCTTATAAATTCTTTAAATTTTAGTTCCAATTCCAAATGTAAGATGTTTGACACTACAATTGGTCACATAGAAGAAATTATTATGGGTAAGTCTTTTTTAATTGATTTAGTATTTCGACAAATTGTACATCTCTACAACACACACAATACAATCAAAATGCTATTTATTTATTAATGCTTTCTCATAATTGTTAGGTCATTTATTATAAAATGATTTTTATGAAGGCCGTGTATTAGAAGGTATTAAATATATATCTAACTAGCTGTATCCCGCAGGAGGGAATTTTGAAAAATCCCTTCTTAAGTGTACATTCTCCTGACGTACCCTATTAAAATGCAATCAAAAATGCAAAAAACCGCATCTAAAATAGTATAATAGAAGCCGAGTTCTTCACAGTAAGCCTTAATTTTGTCCCTCTCCCCCACAAGGGGAAATTTCGACATCTGTATAATATACAAGTTTGGATACATGCACTGTGTACCTCGCCAACCACGCGACTGTGCCACACGGTTACCTATCTCGTATACGTACGTGTCTTGCCCCTCACCACCTGCTGACACCAAAAATATAACACTTACCTAGATGTCTATCTTTTAATTTATATGAATGTTTAACAGAATAATATACAGCCTATGTCAACCCTGAAGTCCAATCTAAATATTGGTGAAAGAATTTTTGAAATTGGATGAGTAGTTTTGGAGATTACCTCCTACATCCAAACTTACAAACTTTTACCTCTTTATAATATTAGTATAGATTTTAAGAATGATATGTAAATAATCTCCATAAAAAATATATTAAGATTTCCTGATTTTGATGTAATTAAGATGTTGTTTTAATTAAGGAAGAACAAGTTTGTTTTTAATTCTTATGCATAATTTTAAAATTATGAAGTATTCCACAATTTCTTATTTTAGTAACAGTAAGTTCTTATATGTGAAATGATAAGATATTCAATGCAACATATAACATAATTTTTAATTATTTAAAAAGCATTCTATTATATGAATAAAATTCTTCAAACTATTATGCATTTTCTGATCCAAAGAACTTGTCTTAAATTCTAGATGATGGCTTATTGCAGCTTTATTTTCTTTAATTCTCAGAGGATTTTTTATGATAATGTTTATACTGTAGGACAGAGCAGACTGATTTCTTATTTGGAAGAATAAACATTATTGTAAGCAATAGTCTATTAGTAAATTAATGAAATGAAGTTACAATATAGGGTAAAATTCTTTGTCTAATGAATTTCCTTTAAGAACTAATTAGACCACTTGCCTTGTTTGATAAGGCAAACATTGTTTTGGACTACTTAGTTGTTATAGGAAATTCAGAAAATTAATTATCACGATGTCATTCTGGGATTGGATATTTTTTATATTAAAATATTTCATTTCAAGAATTTCATCAAATTTTATTAATGTTTATGACATACAGGTATCCCTTAATGTTGGTAATCAGTTCCTGAAAATCAGTTGTTTCATGCAAAAAATGGTAACCTGAAACTCTTTTCCCATTATTTTAACAGAAAAAGTTATAATTTATAACAACAACAACTAAAAATCTACAAAGCTTGTACTAAAGTGTAACTAAACACAGTAAAATAATATCATGTTTTCTTTAAAATGCTTAAAAATTGCTTTTTGATCACCAAACAAGTAATATTATTGTTAATAATAGTTGCTTTATACTGTGTGAATATGCCATACCACAAAATATTGCTTTCTGTGATACAATACAGTAGCGGTAACATACAGCAAATAAAGAAATTTGCTATAAAAAATAGACAAAAATATTTATTCTTTTAAAATCTATGGTGGATAACAATTCACTACAAACGTAATTCGTTGTAGACAAGAAAGTTGAAGAGGCCAAGAGGCACTTCTCAAAATGTCTGAATGCAAGAAAGCAGATTCTTTTTGGCATTCTATTGTGCTGATGTAAATATAAATATAAATTTTTCCCTTATAAAGATCAGCTTGAAAAGCATTGTATTGCGGGATACATATGTAAGGTTTGGGTAGTAAGAACTAAGATGTCATATTGGAAAAATATTAACCAGGAAGATGATGTAGAGTGTATCCTAAACTAATATTTTGTTTCAATATTGTATGTATAAAGATGTAAATATTAATGCTAAATCATTTTTCTTAGAACCAGATTTTCAGAAATTACAAAATGACTTTCTGGAAAAATACTACGTGTGTTTTGAAGATAAAGAAGAAAATAAACTCGAATATATGGATATATTTCGAGAATACGTAAGCAGTATTCCTCAGCGTTATTTATATCATACAGTCACTATTTATTAATACGTTTCATTTCAGACAGATTTAATAGAATCGTACATCGAAACAGAATTAAATAAAAGAATTCCAGATTTCAATATGGCACAATTTTTAAAACAAATGCAGTTAAGTTATTTTATCAAAAATTTCTTAATTTTAATTGAAAATATATGAAATGATAACAACATATGCATATTATTTTCAGGGCTTCCAAGAATGATTTAGACGGTGAAGTTTTTGATATACTGTTCAGTTTTACAGATTTTCTTGTCTTTAAGGAAATGGTCTTAGATTATAAAGCAGTAAGTATTTTTTAATCTGAGAGGAAATTATTAATATTTAAAAATTAAGTTAGTGTTTTTTTTTTCAAAGGCTAAACAAAGATCGATGACTGATTTCAGCATGAGTTTGTTAATTACTTCTTTGACAGAGAATTTGAAAACAAAAGACAATAATAGTTAATGTGTGTTGTAATTTAGAATTTTTATTTTTCCAAGTTTTCTTGTTACAACAAAACGGTTTTGGTACAATCATATGAATAAATGTTTGTTTGATATTTTGCTGCCTTTTGAAATGTTTGTACAGTTTTAAAACAGTTTAATAAATTTGAATTTTTCATTTACAATTTAGCACTTAATCATAATAAAATGCTTTCATGTCGGGTTTCAGTACCAACATAAAGCTATTATAAGTAAAAACTCATTAAGATTATTCAAGTTAAAAAAATACTTGTTGTTTCTGGCCACAGTGGACCAAGATATTAATCTTTTTTTTTCTTTTTTAACTTGTAAAAATGAAAACAAAGTGACTTTCAGACAAGTTATTCTTTTTATATGTAATTCTTTGATTAATTATGAAAATTATTTATTATTTTGTTTTCTGTTTAGTTGATAATTTTAATATTTTGAAAATGCATTGTAACATATTCACTGTAAAAAAAATAAAACTTTCCAATTGTAACAAAGTTATATGATTTTACTTTTTTAGCTCTCTTGGAATAGATATAAAAAATTTTATAACAAAATTCTATTGCTGGATTTATGTAGTTTTGATGGAAAATGTGTACAAAACTTATAAACCCCAAGCAAAAAGAATGCTGATAAATCAAACTTTCTTAACTTGAAATTCTTGCCAACTCAAATTTTGCAGTCTGTCAAAGTAATTTTGAGTTAGTAAATCTTTGTGATAATAATGTCCTCTAAAACACAAAAGAAAATCTACAAAGTTGAAGATTGGTATTTTATAGAATTATACTTATTATTGCATGAGATAAAATTCAAAATTTTAACATTTTCCACCTAAAGGAAAATTAATTTTTTAATTGCAAATTGGCCAGTCTCTTATGTTTAAACATTTTGAAATTTTAAAGCACTATCTGTAGTTTAACAACTTAGAGTTATTGGACAATCAAATTTATAAGTTTGTCTATATTATCTCCTTATTTGGAACTAAACATTCAAACTGCATAAATTTCACTATGAAGTTTTCAATTGCACATTTTCATTGCTAAGTTAACAAGTTGTCGTAGACGTGATTCACGAAAGCCGTTAGAGAGCATTTTAGTACTAATAACAAAGTAAAATGCATTTGAATCAAGTTTGTGGAAATGTCATCACCCATTGTTAGATACATCCAATTAGAAATTATAAGGGAACTTTTAATTATGCATGGTTTTAGAACTTTTGAGTAGTCATAACCATGGAAGAACAGTTATATGAAAATAAAGTTAAGAAGTTATATATACTTTTTAAAATCAGTTCATAATATAAAGACTTCAATAAGCATTACTTTAGGTTAGAGCTATCATGCTTTATGTTCAGTAACATGCACGAATGATTTATTCCTCCCCCATGAGCCAACGCAAGAATGCAACTAATAACAGGTTTGTGCTTGGAGCATATGTAATTTTGTAAATGGTATATATACAGTACATTTATAAAATAAACATTATTAATGTTGTGTACAATAACATGTTCATTGATTGGAAAACCTACAAAAATATTAACACAGTGCAGTTGTGCATCTGAAGAGTAATTAACAAGCATTCAAAAATGAGGGAAACATACTAGCATGTGCAAGTACAAATGTATGACAATGTCTGTAACTTATCTCTATCAAAAATACAAAAAAATCAGGTAATCCAACACCACTCTATTCCTATAATTGCTGAAGTAACAAACTTACTGTAGTTATAAGTAATCTGAAATATTAAATATTACTTAAGTAAATATTTTATTGTAAAGAAGCATTTTCAATAATCTTTGTGATATTGAAATTATTAATGTAAATAATTCAAGAAACAATATTATCTGTTTGAAAACACTTTTATTCTTGTATTGATATATCAATATATTTTATCTGAAATTGATTTAAGAATACCTGACAGACTTTTTACACAAAAAAAATATGCATATTTCTTTTCTTATTTGTACAGAGCAGCATTGTTTGGAAATATTCAATGTTATCAAAAATAAAAACAAACAAATCAGAGTTGGCCGATGTTTAAAATTCAACAGTTAATGATATAATCACTAAGAAATAAATTTATTTTTCCCCATATAATTTACATATAAAATCATTTGAAAAATTATATTTCCCTTTTATTTTCTGGCAGTGATTTTAGAGTTCTGATTTTTTTTCTATTGTTTTGTTAATTCATTAACACCTGCATCTGTACCAGTCTGGCATTTGTATCTCCGGGCATACGATATGGAATTATTCCGGCAAAAGTAATCAATGCTTGTCCTTTGTTTCTTAAATATTTTATAAACTATAAGAGAAAATACTTAATGTTAAATGTAATCTTACCAATCTGTAATTAAATTAAGAAAGAAGCAAACCTTTTCTTGATCTCTCTCTTCCCCAAGACTTCCCATTGTTCTTGATAATGTATGAGGAGAGGTTGAACTTCTAGAAATATATAATTTTCACGATTAATATTTAACATTTGTATCATTAATATAAAACTTACAAAGGTGTTTATATTTACTTTGCATTTTTGTACTGGGAATATAAAATATTCATTGTTGCAAGCAAAATGTCGGGAAAGTTTCGCCTCACCTGGAATTATTAAAAAATATTCACCGCTTATACACTAGCCGATTATCAAAAAAGCATACATAAATTTCTGATAAATATACCTCTTCTGCTTGCATGGAAAATGTGTTAACTTTATCATTTATTTCCTCTTCAGATAATGGTATGAGATCCAACTGTTGAATAGTCTTTGGGAGAATAAAAAGTAATTACATGTGATGTGATAAAGACAACATCAAAATTATTTCTTTACTTACCGTTAATGCTTTAGTAAATTGCTTGGTATGAAATAAATTAAAAAATGTCATTAAATCCAACAGCAGATAAAATGTTTGTGTCACTCCTTTTCCAGCAGTGTGACCATGAGTTTTGTACCTAAATGTTTAATTAAATCAAAAACTGAATTTGATATTCTTGTTTCAACAATTGTTTAAACAATATAACGTAAGAGATGTACAAACCTTTCAGCAATCTCCAAAGCTTTCCTCTCTAGTCTTTCTCTTGTAGATCCATCTGTACTGGGCTGAGCCACTACCTGACTAAGAAGTTTGTTGAGTAATTCCAATACCTTATCATGTTTCTAAAAAATTTTACAAAATATTTTAGATAAAAAATCTTATTTTAATGAAACATTCTTTTGTTAAACAAACTTAACCTGTGCCAAATCATAAACATTAACTGCATCCTCGTAACAACCTTTGTTTTCGCAATTAGTGGCAACCATTTCGATAATTTCCTTAGTATCACTGTGAAATTTATCTATGAGACCTGGCTAATATATAGATTCAAAATTAATTAGATATTGCAATAATTTTATCAAATACATTTGATTTAATATAAACTTAAATACTGTACATACAATTATGACTTACTGAATCCACAAAAACAAACATTACATACTTACCAAATAAACCACTATTAAAATTCATTATTATTTACATANTGCTTTATGTTCAGTAACATGCACGAATGATTTATTCCTCCCCCATGAGCCAACGCAAGAATGCAACTAATAACAGGTTTGTGCTTGGAGCATATGTAAGAGTGTGCTGTAATTAAAAAAAATGGATCCGATAGCGGAAGGTAAACAAGTTTCGTTTTTAATTGAACTCGAACCGATACATTTGGAACATTATTAATGATAAACGCTGATTTGTAGTATTACAGAATGCAAATATAAATAATCTATTGCGCATTGTGTAAATACTGGGTTTTTCGTATTCGTGGGAGTTACGTGTCAATATTTCCCGCGAATATCTGTACTTTGACTTTATCATCTCACGTGATTTTTACATATGCTTAAACACTTTTTCTATCACTTACGAACGACAGAAAAATGTTTAAATGTCGTTGAAAGGTCATAATTACGGTGTTTTTTTTATATTTATTTCTGGTTTTAGGCCCTTTACTGTTCAGAGAGCACAAAAAGACCATGCCATAATTACGTTTGACGATAACGAGTAACGTTGTAAACACGTGTTTCTGAAAATACTGATCAAAATTTTGAATAGATGAGACGAAGAATGCACAGGGATTTGCCGTATATGTGATGCACAAAGATTGCGAGCCATCTTAGGGTGCNCAATTAAGGTGAGTTTAATTTTGTCCTTAATTCAATTCAATTAAATGTTTGATATTATGTCACCAGGCCAGTATTTAATATCAGGAATGCTAAAAATTTTATTATTCCATTAATACAAATATGTACAACTTCTCAAAAACAGATTTTTGGAAAAGTGTAAAATGTCTATTTTTAAGAAGAAAATAAATTTATAATTTAGAACATCACTTTAGATTTTTACATAAAATCTAAGATGTAAATAATCCAGATTTATCATCCATTTTTTACATGCTCACATGCATACATGACAATATGTATAACTAAAACCTCAGTTTTAAAGAATACATTTTTAATGCATTATTTTTCAATGCTCATTTTGGTTGAGAAATCAAGTATACTTAATTTTATTATACTAGTATTCTAGTATTAACTTTCCCTTTAATGTTAAACATTTATGTTTCTGAGATTTCATAATGTAATCCAGAAGAAACATAATTTTATTAATGTTTGTTAAAAATTTGAAGACAAAAATGACACCATGATATCATCGATACTTCAATTCTCACATTAAGTTTTGAACTTTATTTCTTTGATTTTAATTTTTTTTTTTTTTAATTTTATATATCCTAAGTAAATATATAAAAACAGTTTTTAAATTTTAAGTATTAGACAAATAATTAAAGGCAAAAATTTTAAATATTTTGGACTTTGACCTTAGGTCTATCTGTTTGATTGAGATAGTGCACATATTTATATCTATTTAATGCCATGTTTTAAACTTATTTTATGTAAAAATGAAAAGATAATGTCAAATTATAAACTTTTCTCCAGTTTGTCCATTATATTAAGACTTTAAATGTTTATGTTTGTTACTCAGAATGCCTGCTGTTGTTAGATGAAAAACATTAATGAAAATCAAAAGAAATCACATGGAACATGACTAATCTTTCATTATTGAGAGGTGTCCATTAGAAGACTTTACATTATTATTATTTTTTTGTTGTTTAGAACATAATCTAAACTTATTATATGTTTCAAATATTAAAAACAGTTATGACAATTACAATTTTTATTTATACTTAAAATATTGATAACATATTATCAATTCTGAAAACAAAATAAGTTTATTGATAAAATTAAAAAGAAAATATAGCATTTAGAAGAAGAAAATTTAAATGGATTACAAAAATGTTCTTATATTGTTTCTTTTAGATTAAAGATTCATTATATCAAACTAAAATTTGTTACACTTAGAATGTTCTAACAGCAAAAATATTGCACATGTACACACATATATTATTGAAATCATCAACAATATGTAAATCAATTATTAATTAATATATACTTTAAATAATAATAAAATATCTAAACAAATTTCTGTTTATAGCTTTATTCTAAACCTAACTGCATAATATTTCTCTTCATTTTTAAATTATGCTTATAAGTAAATTTAATTATATAGGATTAAATACAGTAATATTGTCAGTGATAATTTCTTCCTTCTATGCTTATTACATTAATTTCTGAATAGTTTCTCTACTATAATAAAACGACAGTATCAATACTTTTTCAATTAAATAGAAAACTTTAGAATTTAGCTAAAATTATCCAAATTTATCAAATATTATAAACTGTATATTTTATTAAAGTTAATTAATAAACAGGAACTTTTCAATTAACACTTATATGCATTCTTCAAGTGAAGTAAAAAGCCATTCCATTTCTATGAAATGGCTTTTTAATTGAAGAAGGCCTCTAAATGTGGCCAAAAATATTTGTAATTCAGAATAAACATTGCTGGAATAGTGATGTTATTTTGTGCATATCAGTGTTAACTGTATATTTTCCCTCGCTATACCAAATAATCAATTTATCATTATATTGAAATTACACACAACTCACAAAATTACATATAATCAAGTTATTTAATATAGAATTTTAAACATACTTTTTAAATGGATCAGTCCCTGTATAGACAGATCTACGATACATCAGACGCAACTGACTTTCACTTGCAGGACTCAATCTAAAATAATTAAAAATTTTTATTTTAATTCAAAATTGATTCATTATATTATATGTAATATTTAGGGAAATATGGTATATTTTAGATACAGAACTTCATAAACAATTGGTATAAATTTACCATTATATTAAAAGTGTAGAAATTTTGTTTGATATACAGGGTGTAACAGAATGATGTTTTAAAAATTTGGGGGATTGTAGAGAATGAAATTTTGAACATTTTGATATAAGGAACCATAGCTGGAAATGTGATATAAAGTTTCTACAGCACTTTGCACTCAGTATGATGAATGAAACAGCAGAATACAGTATTTATGATAAGTTTTATTGACAAAATAGTAGAGTACAATCAAACTGTACATCGAATCAGTGGCAGCACTACTTTAGAGTAAATGTTTAATACTCCAACTTCATTACATAATGTGCAATGATGAACCATGTTTTGTCCGACTCTCTGTAAGATGCCACGCTCCCCTCTGATGGTATTAATTTAAATGTTGTAAAGATGCGCTCCATAAGCTCATGAACTGTTCCTACAGGTGTTGCATACAAAAGGGACTTTACATAACCTCAGAGGAAGAAGTCAAGAACAATAACATGACGTCAATGGATGGAAAGATAGCTACCAAATTGAAGGGCAGTCATGCACTTCCTACCGCTGTAGAAACTTTATATCACGTTTCCGGCTATGGGTTCCTTATATCAAAACATTCAAAATTTCATCCTCTACAGTCCCCCAAATTTTTAAAATGTCATTCTGATACACCCTGTATACAAATAATTGTTCTTTGAATTAAAAGTTTGTATAGATTCTGAAGAAATGCTTACAATTTTTATAAGAATAGCTAAAAATAAAAAAATTATAAGCCATTCCATAATGCTAAATCAGAATGAGTATTGAGGGTAGTCTATGTGGGGTTACAGATGCAAGATTGTTCACGAAATTAACCTATATTTTGTCTTGATTTACAGTCTGAGATTATCCAAGATAGTGAGATCTTGCTGGATTGGATGTAAAGCAGATCACTCTCTCTTAGTAAAATGAAAACTCTTATAAAAGATTAAAAAATAAGTTTTTGATAACAGAATAATCAGTGCTATGAATACATTGAAGCTGCCTGTAGTCCATTGAATATGACTAAAGGAACATCACTACACTGTTCATAAGGGTTTGTGCCCAACAGTGCCTACATGCTTTGCTAATGGCAATGATGTTTGGATAGCTTTTGATAATGCATGTCTCTTACATAACACATCTGTTTCTACAGAGCTCAAGTATCTCAAAAACATCGAAATTTACAAAGCAACTAAGAAAGGTTTTGCTTTTAATTTTAAGGACACATCTTCAGTATCACATGCATCGAAAGCTATTTATTTAATTCCTGTTATATTATTTTTTTTTTTTTTCAGCATTCTTTTATACGTGCGACCACCAGCATGAATTTAATAACTTCTATTTTATTTTAAAATTTTGTTCTGTGTAACATTCCATAATCTGAAGATGGATATTAAAGACAATTGAAAACATTTCTTCTTATAATAAATTGATTCATTTTAACTGGATTACAGATGTTATTTGGTGCTTTTAATTTTATAAAAGATACTGAACAAGAAATCAACATACAAAATATGCTTTCTGACTAGTCAAGCAGCAATGAGATAAAATTTTTTGTAGGAAAAAGATGTGTAGGAGCAACTTCATGAATAGTGGTTGAGTTGAATTAAGAATAACAAAGTAACAAAATCATAAAAGCAAACCTTAGTAAAAAAATTATATTTCAAACAAATATATTTCAAGCTATTTAACAGTCCAACTTCAAGTTAAAACAATAAATATCACTGTTAAGAGGAGTAAATTTCATTGTTAAGAGGGTAAATGCTTCCTTTTTTCCAGGGAAAAATTATTCCAGTCACTCCACTTTACAAAGACTGGATAGACCACTCTCTGAAGACTCCACTCCACACCATTATATATAAAATTCATTATCCCACCTATATAACCTAATATTGTACATATTAGCAATAAATTAATCAATTTGATTTTTGAATTTATATCAGAACAAACAAAGATAGATTTTAGAACTTTATTATGTAATTTGAAATTCTAGAAGTATATTATTAGAACAATATGATTACATCTGATTAGCATATTTAAAAATCAATAATACTACTAATTTCAATTATTAACATAATATATTAATTAATTAATTAAAGAATATCTGAAAATTTTGAAGATAAATGATACAACAGTAAAAATACTAATAAATAACTGTAATCAGTCCACACTGGTATTTTCATATAAATTCAAAATTTAGATTTTATTTACAGGGTGCACCAGAAAAACTGTAAATATGTATTCTTTCACATAGAAACAGTCCTCTTTTTACAGAAAATTAATGTAAAATACTAATTCTTTAAAATGGCATTAGGTAAGTGTCTACAATGGTCATTTTGCCTGGCTCTGCAACATGTCCTTCAGAATCTCATGAATGCATTATGAAAAATTATTTTTTAGCTCACTACTACTGATTAGTTATTGCTCATAAACTTTGTTTACACACAGCCCCACAAAAAGCATTTGGTGAGGTCAGGTTGAGCAAGTAAGCAGACCAGTTAATGTTTCCAAAGTGAGAAGTGATCTGGAAATATTTCTTTGAGAACTTCATGGAGATATGTGGTATGAGTCATTGCTCTATCTTGCTGGAACCATAAGTGACAAGGAATCATTATTATAACACAGCTTTTCCAATCTTAAAAAAAAGGGGCCAATAATGCTGTCTAATGAAATGGTATACCCACAGTTACTTTAGCACTATACAGAGGTCATTATTGATGAAATTTGTATAGATTGTTTTCAGTCAAGAAATGATAATTGTTTGTTCACAAACCCAGTGGACCTCATCTAACATCAGTAACCTGTTAATGTTTTATCAACTTTCTACTCAGAGTTAACGAAAACAACTTCCAACTTATTACAACTTAAAACTCCAAAAACTTGTTACAAAACTGAAGTTACTGTCACTTATCCTGTTTACTAAGCTCCTAGATAAATGGGATCTTGTATGAATGGTAATAAAAAAAATCATCAAGATTCTGTGAATGCTTCTATCTGTCTTATCAAATATGACAGCTGCCAGGTTGACCCGTGTCGACTATGCAAGATGGCATGGAAAAATTTCTTACTAAATTCATGTTGATTGATGTACAGTACATATCAAATAAACATGTCCTGAGAGTTTGCTGTCTTTTCCATTTCCTTCTTGACACCATTTGATATCCAAAGTAACAGAGTATTGCAACTAAGAATATCACATTATAAACTGCATTGTTTAGCTGTGATAGAGTCTGTCTTTATAATGTTTCTACTATTGCAATGTAATGTAGCACAGACCAAGACTCTATCTAAACTAAATTTCAGCTGAAAGCAAATGGTGATTAGTGTTACAGTGATACCTAGTGAATGACTTGGGAATTAAACTTTAAAAACCGTCAGGTGTTTTGGCACACCTGATGTTTTTTAATATCTTCAAAACACTAAAAAATAATTTAATATGTTTTTACGTAATAAAATAATACAATTTTAAAATATAATTAAAAAACAATACTTATTTTAACAGAATAAACTTCACTAATATGAAAAATAATAAATACTATCATTAGTTTCAATTAATCAAATATTATGATTGATAAAGACAAATTTCATCAATTCAAACTGAGATTTGACTTGTGATCTGTCAGCATTTAAATCATAAAACATAAATTATTTTACTTATTTTAAATAGCAATTATAAACACACATGCTTTACCCATTACTAAAATTTCATCATAAAATACATTAAAAATACTTTGGAAAAGATGGATACTTGAAGTGACAAATGTTTCTCTGTTGTAAAATTTACCATTTACAATTAAATTTTCAAATTAATTTTAAAATTTATATATTTACCTATGATCTTCGCTTTGGTTATATTCTTTTAAATAAGGCACAAATTCTGCAAGAACACTGCTGAAGAAAAAATAATCTTAAACTATTGAGTTTTAAAAAGACGTTAATAAAATAAACTAGTTAATAATAGATTTCTAAGTTAAGTTTCCTTCTGAAATTATATAATATAACCTTGCACTCATAGCCACTTTTTCAGCTGCTTCAATATCTCCACACCTAATACAATAATATATCATGGCCCAAACTGGGTGTCCTTCCACTAGTCCATCCTAAATGTTTTTAAAGCACTTCAGTATGTAAATAAAACTTCTTCAATGTTTTTGAAATAAATATATGTAAATACTATGCTATCATAAAATTTAATTCATAAAAACTTACCTCTAAACCTGGAGGCATTATAGATAACTTGATGTTTAGAAAACTACGAATTAAATAATATGTACCAGGCACTCCACCTATATTTGCTTGTTGTAAATTGCCATAAACAATTACTTCTATATATTGACGATACCTGAAAAATTTACAAGTTTTGAAATACTATCATTAAGAAATTGAAAATGTTTAACTAAGCATTATTATCCTGTTCCAAACACACGTGATTCAAATTTTAGAACACTAGCCTGAGGATATCATTTTTAAAAATGGATGAAAACATTCACTTCTCATAATGAGTAGTTCTTTTCTATTGCTGGATCTCAGATTATTATTAACCAATATTAGGGTGTTATTTTTATTAATTTGTATCTACATTTTTAATCAAATTTTTTATTTTTATATTTGCTACATATAACAGAAATAAACAATTTGAATATAAAAGCCAATAAACATCTGTGTTTGCAGTCCATATAATTTAAATGCCAATATGGTAACTGTATTAATTAATACAGAATAATTAAAATAGCCAATCTTTATTCAAATGTGCACACAAAATATAATTAGTATTGAAAAAAAAAACATTTAAATTCTACATCAACTTTATACTAAAATTTTAGTTTTAAATATTGTAATAACAATTATATTTTAATTCTTAATAGACTTAATAAAAATATTAATTAATACTTTAATTACAGTAATTTCTTTCATTTTAAAGGGCATCTGGAAAAAAATCTGCACAAAATATCTCAGGTTCTACTAACAGCCAATAATTTTTAATTATGCTGCATGTATTATAATTTGAATGTGTGGAATGCTATGGAAAATTTCTAGAATCTTTTTCTACATTTGATTTTCTGCTTCTTTCAAAATGACAATGAAAGATGATGTTTTATATCTAAGACTATACAATTTTTACATATTAAATAAAACATCAGAAAAAAGTATACTATAAACCACTTTGCAAATGAAGGAATTTCAATACAGAATATATATTGTGTTCTCCAATGTTTTGAGAATGGATTACCACCACAAAGAAGAAAGGAGTCTGGTAAAAAATGAAAATTCTAATGAAAGCCAAGTTGGAAGGATCAAAGAACATCTTTGAAGGTAGCAATAAGGTTTCAATGCAATTTGTAGTCCTGAACTGAAAATTTCATGTTGTTTACTCTGGGAAGTTTTGAAAAGAAAACATTAATTATCAAAAGAAGCAAATAATTCAGAACAGGACAGAACAGACATACAAAGATAACTGCAAAAACAAAGTGGAAAGTTAATGCAAAAGTTCTCTGAAAAGATCTTCATTTTGGATGGCAAATCTTACTTCACTCTCTCACATTAAGATTGGATTTTATACCAGTGATATCTCCTCTATACCTGCTAATGTAAAGTTTTTCAAGAAAAAAATTTATGGGCAAAGTTTTGGTTTGGATTGCAATGTGACCAAAAGGTTTAAGTTAAGCTCTATTCATAAAATCAAGTTTTATAAATGTCCAGCAATATTATAAATTAATATGTATTATATTGCTTTATTCCCTATGTTCAAAAGAACTATTCTCAATTAGAATATGTCTTCTTGCCAGATTAAGCAAAGTTCTAACTAAATCAAAACTATGCTGGATTATCTGTAACAAGAAAATGTCACCTTTATCAATGAAGAGAACAAACCTGCAGATATGTCAGAAACTAGGCCAACTGAGGATTTTTGGACAATTCTCAGAACAGCTATTTACAAAAAGGAAATGGAAGGCAAAACACAAGGATCAGCTGATCAATCACATAAAGTAGTCTGAAAAATGTGAACCAAAGTCCTGTAAGAAAGTTGCACTGCCCCCAAAGTCAAACTGATGACAATCAACAATAGGGACTTATAAAATTGTATAAATAGAAGATAACAGGACATTCCAATTTTCAACGCGAGTGTTGAGTGTTGAAGTCAACAATTTGACGTCATCAACGACGTTCCAACTTGAGTACNACAACCTTTGTTTTCGCAATTAGTGGCAACCATTTCGATAATTTCCTTAGTATCGCTGTGAAATTTATCTATGAGACCTGGCTAATATATAGATTCAAAATTAATTAGATATTGCAATAATTTTATCAAATGCATTTGATTTAATATAAACTTAAATACTATACATACAATTATGACTTACTGAATCCATAAAAACAAACATTACATACTTACCAAATAAACCACTATTAAAATTCATTATTATTTACATATTAGTCTAAATGTTTTATTTATTTAATTAATTAACTGAAAAGTGAATTTTTCTAAAATATATAAAATTCATGTTGAGCAAATGATGATAAGTATTTATATAATTTTCATTGAAACAAATTTTTATTCTAAACAATGAATTGTAAAATGACAAATGTAATGAGAACAAAATTGATCAAACCAATAAAACGTCTGAAAAATTAAATTTTGATTTTGTTAATTTAATTGGAAAATTTAAGAAAATATCATTCAGACATAAATAGCTATCTTCTTTGCAAACTTTCAGTCTTTAATTGACTACCAATCTGATCTATTGCTGATCCCTCCTTACTTAACAAAATTAATACAGAAATCGACACCGTTTACTTTTTATTATATAAATTTAGTAATCTGCCCATTACTCAAACCTTGACATTGCTAGAGTCTGCCTTGACCTTCCCCTCTAAACAAAAGAATTAAATATTTTGATTGCATCCTTTATTTTAAATTTTTTAATGGACTTATAAACAATTACTGGCTAAAATTAAGACTTTTCCACCAAAACAAGGAACACATCTTGCTTATTCACTCCTTTCCTTTGACTATTTATATCACATAAATCTATTATTTTCCTATCGGTGTGCGGAATATGCATTCACAGTAGAAAACTATCTACATTATAATTTTAAACAATATAAGCATGTTTGGCAATGATTTTTATATAATTGTAATTTAGTAATTGTCATTTTAATGTTCTCTCTTTTTGTTCTTTTTTACTTCTACTTTTATATTAATTGCAACACGATTTAATATTTTCTTTTTTTTCCCAGCATTATAAAAATACAGTACTGTACTCTCATTCAAAATTGAACACATACAGGTTATTACAGAGAATGTGCGATTGCTTAGTACAGGCCTGGACAACCCGCGGCCGTCACGTTAAATTGTGTGGCCCGCTAAGCGATATTATATATCTATTAAAACTTTTGTTTTCCGTTATGTGTATACCAAAACAATTAAATAAATGAAAATTTGCATGTGTCGTTGTTATAATGCGCAAGTGCGAGTACGAACTCTTGGTATAACAATAAAATCTTATTCATTTTGTATTTGTTTTACTTTTTTAAAAGCATGTTTGCCTAAATTGTGGCCCACCGTAATGATACGCGTGATTAAAGTGGCCCGCGAAACAATTTGGGTTGGCCAGGCCTGGCTTAGTATAATGGTAGACAATTTTTCGCAGCTTTAGATCGGTGCTTTAAAAAAAAATGAGTCTCATGATACTATTTATGCCAAGGAGCTATTCGAGAATGTCGCGATATTTGGAATTATTCTAAGAAAATTTTAAAAAATACGTAGTGGAAAGTAATAGTGTATATTTAAATACGAATGTAAGTGCGTATTAAAATAATAACTGTGAGATATATACTTTTTTCATTATAGCAACATTAATCCTAACGATCAATAAGCCTGCTATTACTGAAACTGAACTCAAGGTCAAATTTTTTTGAAAATAGGGTGGAGTTTCGGTGTTTTTTAATAAGCGTTAATCGAGTGGAGCTATACAAAAAGTTTCAAAAGCACTGATTTAGATCTTTACTGCGTTCTTGCCAATAAATCAAATTTCGTAGTTCACATTTATTTATGTTCTAATCTAACTTTAAAATATTATTATATTTGTTAATTAAAATTGAATATTTAATTTAATAATAACGCAATTTAATGTTATTTTCGGTTCTTTTTAAAATATTGCGATGTTTTCCGAAACGAAATAATGTATCTAATTGTAACCTCGACAAAAATTCAC